GGGGAATGTGAGGTGGAGGACGGAATGTGCAGGTGGAGGCGGGAATGTGCAGGTGGAGGGGAATGTGCAGCTGAAGGACAGCAGGCTGTGCTGGGCATGTGAAGAGCAGGGTGAGGTGGTGGCAGGCATATGAGATGAGGCTGACCAGGGTCAGGCAGGGCTAGATTGGAGTGGGGCTTTGCACGTTGGACCAGGTCATTGGGGTTTTATCTGAAATGCCCCTGGGTGTGCTAAGCAGGGGTGAGGGGGGATTTCATTCCAGTGGGGGTCTCCTCACTGACCCAGCGGTCCTAGACTGTTACCTCCCTCACAGAGGCCCAGTGTGGTGAGAGGGTGATGTGTCATCTCTCGAGCCCCCCTCCCTTCGGTGCCCCAGAGCCTCCCATCCCAGGGGAGGGAGCTGGAGTGGCTATAACAGTCCCTGACAGCCCAGCCAGACCCTCTCCCAGACAGACAAGTGTCAAATATTCATGAGGATGAGAAGCTGTCACTCCCCTGCCCTCCCCCGAGGTCTGATGGGCCTAGTCCACAGGACTCAACCCCTCCTGGCGGTTGTGTGGCCCTGCCCCAGCTCAGCCACTGTGGGCCCCTCATTCCTACTGTGAGGACCCCCTTCATATAGGATGGCTCACAGGGGCCCAGACCCTCTGTCATGTGGAGGACCTGGCCCACGGCTCCTGCCATCCCCCTCCCTGGACCCTGCTCTGGGAGAACACACAGGGGTTCCTAGCCCGGGAGCACAGCGGAGCATTTGTGAGCAGGGACTGGGCCATGACTCAGGGGCTGGGGAAGCCCTTCTCAACTCTCCAGGCCTCTCAGGGGGCCTGGCCCCAGGAGAGCCAAGCGGCTCACGGCCAAGACCGCCTGCCTGTGGAACCAGGAGCCATGAGCGGTGTGGCCCTGAAATGAAAGTCTCCGCTGGGACTTCTTTCCTTATCTTTAAAATGGGGGTGGCATGGCTGACCTCTGGGTTGTCATGACGATGAGATGACACTGAGACCCAGACGAGAATGCAGGAGGGGAGCTCTTGGCCGGACCGCGGGGCCTCCAGGTTTTCCAGGAGGAAAGAGCTCAGTAGCCCGGGAGCACAGCGGAGCATTTGTGAGCAGGGACTGGGCCATGACTCAGGGGCTGGGGAAGCCCTTCTCAACTCTCCAGGCCTCTCAGGGGGCCTGGCCCCGGAGAGCCAAGACCGCCTGACTGTGGAACCAGGAGCCATGAGCGGTGTGGCTCTGAAAGGAAAGTCTCCGCTGGGACTTCTTTCCTTATCTTTAAAATGGGGGTGGCATGGCCGACCTCTGGGTTGTCATGACGATGAGATGACACTGAGACCCAGACGAGAATGCAGGAGGGGAGCTCTTGGCCGGACCGCGGGGCCTCCAGGTTTTCCAGGAGGAAAGAGCTCAGGCCTGGGCTGCAGAAGGAGTCCCCGGGGCCAGGGGTGCCAGCCTTGTCCTGAGAGGGGGTCCTGCCCAGGCTCTGAGGCCACCTCAGTTTCTCCCTCTGACACCCTCCACTAACCCAGAGCCCTTGGCAAAAATTCATGCGGTAACGAAGCAGCAGCTGCCTGTCTCCTCTCACCCCACCCCTGGGACCAAAATAAAGACTTTATTCATCAGGCCATTTCTCTCCTGAATAAGATCATTAATAATGGAGAAGACGGCCCCAGCCAGTTTGGCTCAGTGGATAGAGTGTCAGCCGCGGACCGCAGGGTCCCGGGTTGGATTCCGGTCAAGGGCACGCACCTGGGTTGCAGGCTCCTCCCCAGCCTGAGTGCAGGAGGCAACCAATCGATGTGTTTCTCTCACATCAATATTTCTCTCTGTCTTTCCCTCTCTCTTCCACTCCCTCTAAAAATCAATGGAGAAATATCCTCAGGTGAGGATTTAAAAAATAAAAATAAATAATGGAGAAGATGCCCCCCTGGACGGGTGTGTGTGCGTGTATGTATGTGTGTGCATGTTTGTACATGTGAGTATGTGCTCGTGTGTAGTGTGTGGAGGGGCCTCCCTCAGCGTCCCTGGCATCCTGGGGCCCTGTCTCCCCTGCTTGCTCCCTCCTTCTGTGCCACCAGGATGGCGAGGTTGCTGCAGCTCTGGGCACCACTTCCCCTGCCTCCTTGCCAGGCTGAGCCTTGGAGGAGGAGAGGAATGTGGGGGTGTTACCAAGGAGGGTGTGTGGTGGGACGTGGCTTCGGGGGGCTGATGACTATGAGAGGGGCATCTGGCAGCTGGC